TTCGGGACTTTAAACTAAAACTATCATTTTTGGCTTTATGATAAAGACTCATTAACTAAAAGTAGATAGTGTTCTTGACTTGTTTGTCACTTCTAGACCGCTAGATGGTGGTAACTTAAAGCGTATATACGTGAAAAAATTTTCTTTGTCTTGTCCCTTTACAAATGGTATAAAAGCTCTGTGATAACTAACATTAAATTGTCATCTGTTCAGAAAGCAGGTGTCTGAGTATAATATTTTCATCTTTCGCCTATCCGTCTCTCCTTCAGGAAAGCTCACGACCCTTGTAGGGCTAGACCCCCGCAAAGATTCAGTACTAAAAACACTATACGGCAAGAATCAGAAACACTATACGGCAAGAATCAGTACTAAGAATCAGTACTAAAAAACACTATACGGCAAGAATCAGTACTAAGAAGAAAAAAAACACTATATGGCAAGAATCAGTACTAAGAATAAATAGGTAGGTATATTTTATAATGCTATAATGACAATCCACCAAGAAGATATAACAACAATTAAAGTTTGTGTCTAGTAATATTGTTGCAAATTCTCAACAGCTCAATCAATGAAATAAAAATTCATTTCAATGTATATCGAGCAAATACTAAAAGTTCATTTTCTTCAGATCCTTGGAATATTTTGGGCTACATAAATTCTAAAATCCATTTATTCAGGTTAGTTATAATTCTGGTCCTAGAATTTAGCTTTACTCTAGTAAATTTAAGTAGGTTAGAACACTGCTAATAAACATTATATTATTATGTCTTTAATCCTTTGCACTCAGATGTCCCCTCAGAGGGAACATTTAAATCCAGAAAATCACTCGGATGTCCCCTTTCAGGGGACATAGATTGCTGGTGATTATACAGGACAAACTTATGACAGCAGAAATTTTTCCAAAATGTATGTTTCCTTGAAGTTTTCCATTCAAATTGCACGAAAAAGCAAATAAAGAGATGGAATATATTCTGAGATATACATTTTAAAATATCTGCTAGCATTCCATAGAAGGAGAATGTGTGAGGTGCTTTCACAGTGGTGCACAGAGTGGGCAATAAATTACACAGCATTAAAGCGAGAGGAAGAAAACGAGACTGCATTATCTGCTCAAATAGAAAAACACCAGGTAGAAAACGTCAAGCAAATTACTACTGTACAACATGTATCAATAAGCCTGCAATGCAAGTTGGTGACTGTCTCACACGTCACCACACGTTAGAAAAATGCTGATTTTTGTGTCACAAATAAGTTTCTTAATGCCCAAAATTCCATTATAAGCCAACATCAATATCATTACAATAAAATAATTAGTTTCAATGCTAGACTACTTAATATAGTGATTCATTTTTCACTATGCCACAAAAAAGTGTGGTTGAGTTGCTGGAAGATGATCTGTGAGATGTCTCCAAGTGCAAAGGGTTAAAACATCTGCCTAACAAAGTTGTCTTTTCTTATATTGGGAAGCATTGTGGTAAAGCTCTCCTTTTCCAACTTCACAATATATATGAATTATTTCATTCATTCAGAGACTATAACGGAATAATATTTAAAAGTACTAGATTTCTCAGTAGGATGCAAAATAATCTTGGAAATGTCCTAATATACCCTCTAATATAATCGTAATATGATGATAATTATAGAAGTACTCCACTTAATATAATAAGGATACTATAAGACTTAACAGAAAACATTTCTGGCTCAGCACTACTAGACAGATTCCTAGAACTATTTACAATTTACTGCTTTACTATTAAATTAGCTGTATTACAACAATATAATCTATTTGATTTTTACTTGGTAATACTATTGACTAACAAATAATTATGATTAATTATGATTGCATTGTTTCTACAATTGATTGCTCTAAGGAAAATCTGGTTTGACTTTTTAAAACCCAACATGTATTCACTTTTTAGATTATCTTTTTCCTTGTATGTGTAATCTCTTCATAAACACTTACTATGTTGCTGGTCTTTTTTCAATATTCAGTGTGCACGTGTATAAATATTCATATATAACCTATAATCAGTTTCTCCATTACAAATTTTATTTATTTATTTATTTTGAGTTGGAGTCTCACCCTGTCAGCCAGACTGGAGTGCAGTGGCACACTCACAACCACCACAGACACGACCTGCTGGGCTCCGGTGATCTTTTCGCCTCAGCCTTCCAAGTAGCCGGAACTATAGGCGCGTGCTACCACGCCCGGCTAATTTTTTTTGGTTTATTGTAGAGATGAGGTCTCACCAAGTTGCCCAGGCGGGTCTCGAACCCGTGGGCTCAGGCAATTCACTCACCTCGGCCTCCCAAAGCGCGGGATTACAGGCTGAGCCACCAAGCCCGGCACATTACAAAATTTAAATGCCTAAGATTCTTTCTCTAATTAGCATTAATTTTTCCAGATTCTACCTTTCATTTGGAGAGGAAAATCAGTTTGTAATTTCAAATGTCTTAATCCTTCAGTTAAGCATTACCATTATATCCTTATTTGATTATTGGCATTTTCTTAGTTATCAATCTTCCAGTAAGAAACAGTTTCTGTAAAATGGTCTGTAAAATTTTCATAAAAATTAATAGGCCAAAGAAAAACTGTTCACTCCTTCTGCGAGCTTTCACTAAAATCAAATGTAACATAAACTGAATGTCTATTATACCGGGTACTTTTACATCAGTTATCTCATTTAAACTCATTATTCACATTTTTCAGGAAAAGAAATTACAACTCAGAGAGGTTAAACAATGTGTCGAAGCTTATATATGTAATGGGAAAAGCTAGGCTTTGATCCTAGGCATGTTTGTTAACAAAGCCTAGATATTTCCACTAGCAGAGGTTGACAAACTTAATGTAAAGCGTCAGACAGTGAACATTTTAGGTTTTGCCGACCATACAGTCTCTGTCACAACTACTCAACTCTGCCATTGAAGCATAAAAGTGTCATAGACAATATGTACACAAGTGAGAGTAGATGTTTTTGAGTAAAACTTTATTAACAAAAGCAGCTAGAACTTTTGGCTGAACTTAACCCAAAGTCTATGGTTTGCCAAACCTGCCCTACATTACAATGTGTTCTCTCTTAGAGAACCTTGATTGCCTGTTCATTAACACCACTACATTTTCTTTCTTTCATTCTCAAAAAAATTGTTATCTCCAGCCTAGGCAACACAGTGAGACCTCGATTCTACAAAATAAAAAATAAAAAAAATCAGCCAAGCATGGTGGCCCATGCCTGTACTTCTAGCTACTCAGGAGGCTGAGGACGATGAGTTGCCTGAGTCCAGGAATTCAAGACTGCAATGAGTTGTGATCGAACCACTTGCACTCCAACCTGGATGACAGAGTGAGACTCCAACTCACAAAAAAAAGTGTGACTACAGCCCTACTGGGCAATTTCATTTTAACACTATTCTTATTAGCCTCAATTATTTGAAAAAGATTACTCCAAGGAATATGTATAATCCTTTACACAATCTAACTATAATACCAATTATATCAGAAATTAATCTATAAATAAGATTTAGAAATAAACATTTGCAAAACTATAGTCCTGGCATGCACTATATTCTCAGTGTGAAAATGTCAAACACCTATATTTAAAATTCTTCCTTTTTTCAGTTATTAGTATCTAATTTTAACTGCTCAAGCTATATATAATAAGCATACTTGACACAAGGCCCCACTAGTAGATACAGTCAAGCAACAATAGTAATATCTCTCTCTTCTTTTCTTTTCTTTTCTTTTCTTTATAGAGAAAGGGTCTTGTTATGTTGTCCAGCTGGTCTCAAATCCCTGACCTCAAGCAATCCTCCTTCCTCGGCCACCCAAAGTGCTGGGCTTATAGGCATAAGCTGCCCCATTTGACCCTAACCTCTTTCAATTATTAAAAATTATTCGTATACTAAAAATATCCAAATACATAGAACTTAAAGATTTTTTTTCTCACTCTCTCCCTTATTCCAAAATTCAACCATATGTACTACCACTGAACATTATTTTTTAATATAAAAGATTTAAACAGTATAAACTGAAATAAATAGGAAAGAAAAATTCCCTTCTCCTTCAGGGGCTTTGTTTTTTCTTCCTTTTCTCTCCTTACCCTACATCTTCACATGGATAACCTGCTCTCTCTCTTGCTCTCTCTCTCACACACACAAGCACAGTTTCTAAAAACCAGAAAGTTCAAATAAAATAGAAAAATAATAGTCAAAAAACACACAAGATCAGGTAAATCCCAGCTTTATAACTAAAATCAGGTGAATAATCACTTCCTTGCTTTGTTGCCTTCAGTTCTTTACTTAACCTCTATTGAAGTCTCTTTCCTCATCTATAAAAATAAGGGGGGGGAGTGCATTGTGCCTCCCCACATGGTGATTCTAGGCATGAAAGTGAGAATTCAAATGAGATGTCCATAACACAGTGCTGACATATAGCCAAGAAATAAAAAAAACGTAGTTGCTATTATCATTACCATCTCCATTTTGGACAAGTCGTAACAGCTCTTGCAGTTCCTCTAGAAAATGGTAAAGCACTGCTTCAAATGGTATATATTTAAGGATAGTTTTTCAAAGTCTCCTGCAAATTCACCTTATCCTTATAGTTAAAGGCCAGGGGAGAGGTCTCTTTCTCAAGAATGTAACTGTTCCTTTGAAAACCTTTAAAAACTAAACTATTCTATGCTTTTATTTCTGAAAAGAAACAAGAAGTTAACATTTTCTCCTTTGTTCTTCATTATTTAGATATTTTTAAACCAATACACAATACATTGAAAGATTGAATATGTTGCTTTCTAAAGAAAGTCACTCAACTCTAATAAATAATTTTAAATGGACTTGCTTAAAAGGAAATGTCAGACTAGAGTCTACTTTCTCAATCCCAATATATCTTAAAAGTCACCAATCTGGGAGTTTATTCTTGTTGCTTTTATTTTTCATCTTTTATATTTAAAGGAACCACATGTTAATATCTACATGGTACATTAGTGGATATAAATATTTCTTACCAAATTATGCTTTTTTAGTGGAAGGAAATAATAATAGTGGCAGAAAGAAAACATCAGTGCGTAGCAAGTTAGAAGTTCAGTGTAGAAACACAACTGCAGAAAGAGCCAATGATTATCTTCACCAACACAATTGTTAATCCTAAAGAAACAAAAATGAAAAAGAAACATTTTAAACTTCAATAATATGTTCACTTCAGGATCAGTAAGACTAAAAATGAAAAACAAATAGCCTCGCATATGCTGAACTTCATGGAGCTATGCTAAAGCCACTCAAACTATACAAAGGTGTAAATATGCTTTTGACTTTACAAGGGAAGTCTATGTATATGATCCCCCTGTAATTCACAACCAGCCAGCAAGGCAGGAAGAGAAGAAGGTAGATTCCTTGTTACACAGATAAAGAAAAAGGAACAAAGGAGTTACGCCACAAAGCAGAGGACGCAGTTTAGAAGAGGCGGGGCCGAGAGAGCCAGGACCCTCTTTTCCCGACTGTTGTTCTTCCGCTACAGCATTCTAGCGGTGGAGAGCAATCGGAATGCTCTGAAGTAAACAGCTTAAACTTGCCGCTCTGGCATAGCTGCCATGCAGTCACAATGTTTTGCCTTTACTCTAAAACTCTATCCCTGGTTGCTGGAAATAAAAATGTATTCAACACTATTTACAAATACCAAGAGCCATATTTTCACAACAGTGACCCTAACAGAAGATGAGTGTTATAATCCCAAGTTTTCAAGCCTAATTTAAGTTGAATACTTTACTGCTCCAAATGAATTTACTGTACCCATATTTTCAAAGTATTTTAAAATTTCAGTAGAAAACCCTAGCTCAAAACTACAAATTACCTTGCACCAATGTGTTTTCATTTCAAAATAGCATTACACTGTCACCAAAAAGAATAAGTTCCAGTTCTAACTTAAATTGTTCTTTTTAAGTTGTGCCATTAAACTACACCTATAAGTCAAATATAGACTTGAACCGAAAAGCCTTGTGGAGGAATATTTTAGACATAAGAGTGCACGTTTTATAAACAAGAAAATTTACTGTGTCTTTGCAAGCAGGGCTACAATTGATGTGTGCTTATGTATACACTCAGTAATGCTCTGTAACAGCTGTTGCTTGAAACATGACTTTTTCTTTTCTTTTTTTACATTTTAAAGTTGTGGGGTACAATTCAAGGTGAAACATAACTTATTCTCATCCTATCCTTCCTGTCCCCAAGAAGTCTGAGAAACAACAGATATGACCACAGCATTCTTCTTCACCAGAGAGCTTCAAAAAAGCACTAAGGTACTCAATCTATATATAAGAGTTATTTTTGTAACATTTAAACTACCTACAATGATTAGAGCCAGAAATATAGAAAACCTTTAGGCAAAAGAAAATTGACCTCTGAATCTAAGACTGTTAGGCAGTTAAGTAATGCAGTTTCTCAAAATATCAAAAGTTTTCCTTGCTTCCAACTTACACTATACTTTTCCCTTATTCTCTGATCTTCTTAGCAGTGCTCTATATTAGGAAAATCAATCATGAATATTGGTCTTTTCTGTTCCTCCAATCTTTTCTACTTCCCCTCTCCTTCCTACCAATCTTCTGAAAATTGACTAAAACTGGAAGCAAGAGTCCTAAAAACAGGGAAATCATCCCAATGTTAGAATTTAGGCTAAACAGCATTGTATTTGGTCACCAAGTCAGTCTTTATCTTTTAAAAATCAATAAATATCACAAGCCTCCACAAAATCATTTCCTAATTATTTTATAATCATAAACTATCACATTCTTTCAAAAGGAAGCATCAATATCCAACTGTACCATGAACATTTATATTTTTAATCAGAAACACTACTATTGAAAGTGCTTAAAGTTAAATATTTCAGTGTGATCACTATTTATCTGAATACATGTTTCACCTAGCTTTTTAAATTTTATTACGATTGTGATGGAAAACAGATCATTGAGCTTTAAAAAAATTACTTGGAAATGAATCTGTTTAAATTCAGGTTACTTTTTAACACCAACTATATACCATGTACTATAATTTTTTTTAATTTTTATGGAGTAATGAATTGCTTTTATCTAAAATACTCTTACTTTTTCATATTCTCAGAAAATTATCTTCTATTTAAATAATCAGTTTACAGTAAAAAATCAAATTTCCACTAAAAGTTTGCTAATTAACTATGCTATCAAAATAAGTTATCAAAATAAGGATTAAGTTATCAAAAATAAGGAAAACTCTACACTGATTAGTATTATTAGGCAAAGCTAAATTCTACTCTTGAGTCAACTTTAGATAAATGCAATTATAAATTAAGAAGGCCATTATGTAGTTAACTTTGTATATATGTGTGCACATGTGTAGAAACACAAAGACTATATATATGTATATAGTTATATTTATAAAGTGCTACTCTATTCCAGTTTAAATATTTATACAGAGTTCCAATGCTAGGAAAACAGAATTAAATACAATATCTTGTTCACAGATTTTTGTGACAGCTTTGAAATGAGATACAATACAGAATTCTCACAGCATTTGCTTTCAAAAATTCTATTTTTCAAAAGAACATTTTCTTTTAAATATTACAAGAGAGCCCCCTATTGACCAAAAATGTTGGCAATTCTGCAGATTCAGCTAATTACCACTTACATACATCCAACATGCATATAATGCTAATACCTGTATCCAATACATAATGCGTAAAAAAGCTTAAGGGGTAAAAAGGAGGTTATTAAGGCTTCGGAAATGTATTACTATTTAAACGAGTGGAAAAGGGATACAAACACTGGATGAATATGGTTTATTACAGTTAGAAATAGTATTTAAGTACTTCTTATGTGTCAGATACCGTACTAAATGCTTTACATATATTGTCTCATTTAATACAAGCGCCTTAGTCTTTTTGCATATTTGGTTGCATTTCAATTCTTAGTTTTCTGTTCAAATTTCTCCTTGTTAGACAAGATAGGATCTCTGTGGAAAAACGACTCTGGGAGTTGATAGAACCACATGATCAAATAAAGTCATCCTTATTTAGATTTTTTAAAACTGTGTAACTTTAACATGACTTTTGTTTAAAGTTGCTAAGTCCTAAGACTTACATTTACTACCTACCCTTTTTCTGTTGTTCTTGCTAAAAATGAATTATTCTTACCATGGACAGTGATGATCCATTCTCCTTACACAGTGGCCACAGCGGCTACAGTGATGCGAACGCTTTGGTCTCATCAAATTACACTTGTTACATAATTCCCAGAACTCCCTTTCTAGAGAAGGAAATTAAAATGCATTTAATGAAGGCAAATGAGTAATGCTGAAATTGAGCAACAATTATTTAGAAGACTTTACAGGATGTCTACAATATACATCTCTAATAGATTTTTCTTCTTCTAAGTCTCCAGTGGTTGTCATAAATATCGCTGTTCTATTCTATGCATGTCTTATTTTGTATGTTCCTAATTTTAAACACTATAAAAATAAGATACTATTGCTATAATCAAAGAAAAAGTTAGAAAATCATGTATTTGGGTTTGAACATAGCTAGACTGTAAATAAAACCCAAAGACAAAACCCTAAAGTTCAACCAAAGTATAAACAGAATTTTATTTGAAAAAATTAATTTCTAGAAATTTTATTTTCCAAAGACACTAAAGAAGAAATGCTGAGTCCCGGTTTCAGTAGTTTATAAATTGAAATCAATCCTACAAACTCGTTTGAAAAACAGAGATTGCATTTCCTCCCTTCTTCCCTAAACCATTTATTTTTTGTTTAATACTAAGAAATCCATTTGAAAACGTGTATGGGAGCAGGTTAGAGAAGGATATCGCGTAGGTCTTGGAGGTATCAGAATAGCTTCAGGAGGGAAAAAAGTTATTAAGAAGTTACTATTTAATAAAAATCAAGAAATTCATCACTATACTCTGAACTACCACGAAGTAGCAATTCCCTCTAACCTATAGTGAAAGGACACACAATTAAGTTCTGTGCCAAAAACATACAGTTTGAGGAGACTATTATTCCAATTACCATGATTTGATCACTACACATTGTATGCATGTATTAAAATAGCACATGCACCCTGCAAATATGTACAGCTATTATGTACCAATTTTTTTTTTAAGAAATCAGGTCTTGCTACATTGCCTGGGATGGTCTCAAGCAACCTGAGCTCAGGCAATCCTCCCACCTTGGCCTCCCAGAGTGCTGGGATAAGAGGTGTGAGCCATCATGCCCAGCCTAATTTTTTGTTGTTGTTGTTGTTTTTATAATATATATTTTTTATTTTAACGTTGTGGGGTACAGTTAAGGGTTAAGTATACAAATATTCATTGTGCAGGTACCCTTGTTGATGAGGTGTGCTGTGTTTTTAATAATAAATAAGAAGTCATGCTAAGTGAAATAAACCAGACACAAAAGTACAAAAGCTACATGATTTCACTTATATGAGCTACCTAAAATGGTAAGATTCATAAAAGCAGACATAAGAATGGTGGTTTCCAGGGGCTGGAGTGTTACGGGAAAACGGAGAAGTACTGGTCATAGGGTACAAAGTTTCAGTTATGCAAGATGAGTCAGTCCTAGAGATCTAATGTATAGCATAGTGCCTATAGTTAATAAGACTGTATTTTTTAATATCAATAGCTTTAGGGTTCCAAGTGGTTTTTGTAAATATAGATGACTTGTGCAGTGGTGAAGAAGTCTGGGCTTTATCTGTCACCAACCAGTGCACTGTACTATAGTTAAAATTTTGCTAAAAGGGTAGATCTTATGTGTTCTCACCACAAAATAATAATAATTACAAAACAGTGGTGGGGAACTTTTGGAGGTTATGAATATATTTGTGGCACTGATTGTGGTGATGATTTCAGTATGTATATCTATCTCCAAACTCATCAAGCTATACATTAAATCATTAAATACATACAGGTTTTTTGTATGTCAATCATACTTCAATAAAGTGGTTTTTAAGGTAAAAAATAAAATAAAAACATGAAGTTTGTATAAAAAGTATTTGTTTTCATTATAAATTGTTCTAATCAGATCCATAAACTACAGAAGAGTCAGTTTCCAATATAAGACAATTGCTTTATTATACAAAACATTCTTTTTAGTATCTATTGAAAAGGAACTTTAGAAAATTCTAAAGATTTTCATCACTTATTTTTAAACTATCCCATAACCTCTTTAAATGTATGGGCATAGTAAGATTAACCTAACTCCCATATTCAGAGTGGGACCCTTGCGCATAGTAGAGGGTAACTAAATGCTTGACTATGAAAAGCTTAAAATTTTTTAAATGAAAGATTCTAAATAAAAGAAGATAATAGTAGATAGTGCTCCATTTTTTTAAAGAGATTTCCTATTTGAATTCCATTATTTTAATTTAGCGGCCAGGAGCAACATTAACATACTGAAATTTGATATAGTAAAGAGCTAGAAAAACATTCTGCTATAAATATCTCTGAAGAAACAAAATATAAATAAAATGTATATAAATCAATTGTGCCAATAATATGAGAGATGAGAAATTCTTTTACATTATTCTTCTCATTTTAAAAAAATCCTTCATTTCCTATAGTTTTTATTTTAATGAAAATAAATCATGTGAGCAATATCAGTTTAATTTAGACAGTTAAATAATACTAATTTATACTAAATCATACCATAGTAAATCCAAATTTCAGTGTCCATAAACAAAAGTTTAAATGTTGTGCCTATTCATTTACATATTGTCTAGGGCTGCTTTTGTGTTTCTGTGGCAGAGCTGAAGAGTTGTGACAGAAACTACATAGCCCATAAAGCTGAAAATATTTACTATCACGCCTTTACAGTAGAAAAGAGTTTGCCAATCTGCGGTCCAGATCATAAATTTATTTAAAGAAAGAGCCTGAGTCATTTATTTGGCTGAAGTGAAGATACTACAGAAGTATCTAAGATAAGAATTACCTGAAAATCTCACAGTTTGTGTCACACACGTGCCTGAGCACATACATCCCTTTGGAATAAAGAAGAAATCACTGTTGTGTAAATCTAGAAATTTAATTAATCACCTAGAAAGCATTTCTGCATTATGTTTTCCTGGAATGTGTTTTCCACCCATCTTAATGTACCCTACATATCCATAAAGCATTTCTTGGTCTTTTCCCTTTCCTTCCTCAGGGTTTACTCATGTCCAGAGAGGATCTTGGTGACTGATACATTCCAATGTCTGATGATTACCCACAAGATTTTTGTACTAGCAATCTAATAAGATAAAATAAAAGCCTATGGGAAAGAGCATTAAACTGATAATTTATGACAGCTATAGAAAAATTAGAAGCTAGCATAAATACATATTGGGAAGAGAAAAATCAAAACATAAAATGAAACAAAGAAAAAAAGACAAACTCCATAAATGATTGCGGCTGTTTAATGTGAGTAAATAGCATCAGTCTGTTTAACTTGAATCTTTATTCATGTTGTAAATGACTGAATGAATGTAACACAATGTTTGGTTTGGTTTTGTTTATCTTTCAGAAAAGAAGGAAACACTATCTGAGTCTTTTAAAAGGTTTATATTTTAAGGGGCCCTCTCTCAGCATATTTTAAATCATAAAGTAATGTTTTGGGGAGAAAAAAATATTACTTGAAATTACCAAAATCGATATATGTTTGGGTCCTAAGAGAAGTTCCCCCAACAAAGTTGGTTGTCAATGTAGGAAAAATATGTCAATAAGTCTATTACAGGTCACTTATAAAAGCAGTATAAGAAAGAGGAAAAAAGCAAAGCTATGCGTGAATACATGACCTTGATCATTAAGTAGATGTATCCTTATAGCTAGGGGTAAAATGCCAAGGAATATCATCAAAGTGTGCTGTATTTAAAAAAAAAAAAAAAAAAACTTGGAAGAGTTTGCTCTGTAACACTGTCAAAAAAATGACTCTAGAAATGACAAAACATTCAAGTTAAGAACTTGATAAAAATGTACTAAAGTTGATTATGGTAATGGTTACACAACTCTGAATATACTAAAAGTCATGAAATTGTACACTTTAAATGAGTAAATTATATGGCATGTAAATTATACTCAATAAAGTAGTTTTTTTAACAAGAGCCTCAATAAAATCATTTCATAAAATGGAAAACTGATAAAATATTTCTGCCTTACTTTGTTATTTCAAATATGCATGTGAATAATGTAAATAATATAAATAAGCATGCAACAATTTAACTTGACTATTTCATTGACATGCCCAAAAGTTTACAAAGTTCAATTCTGGGGAATCTTCTCATGGGAAAATGGAACTTTCCCTTATAGTTAAACTGCCTCATATTTAGTGGGTCACATATATAGTAAAGTCATTGTGTTAAAAACAAAACAAAATAAAAAAACCAGAAAGGCATATAAAATATTTCACAGTAATTCAATTAAAAAATGACTAAAATCATAAAAGTATCAGGGTTTTAAAATTTCTTTTCTGAAAAATTCAATTATATGAAACTGCTCAACCTTTAAACATTCTTTAATAACTGTCACTATTCTATAGTTTCAACTCTTTACTCATGGTATCTTATTTTTCACCATTAAAATTTTGTAATTTTTACTAAGTTAAAATCATGTTTACAAAAGAATCGGGTAACCAGCACCAAAAAGTACATGATGACATAAATCTTACCCAGAATCATAGCAAAGGTGAATAAAGAGCTAAAATTATTAATCTGTATATGGATCCATGGTGAAAAGATGATGGAGACAAGGATCTGGGTCTCACACCAGCTCCATAACAACCAGCTGGGTGTAATCCAGGAAGGACAATCTATGCTCTTGACTACCCAGCCTATCTGCCTCATATAATTACCATGAGGATCATACAATATGAGATCCCAAAAGACTTTGGAGAAACACTAAAATATGATAAATAAATGTATTTTTTTCCAACTGGGTAAAAGGGAAATTTCTTGGACTCAGTGAAGAAAAACAGGCCACATGCCAAATGGGATGGCATATGATGCAGACATCCAAACAGCCAACGAGATGCCCTGGTGTCTTGCGTCACTCCAGTCTACACACTAAAGGTAACATAGTTGTTGCATGTGGACTCAATTAGGCCTACGAATATAATTTGTTTGATATTTACAACATATTTAATATTTTAAATTAGTTACCAACATTTTTTATCATGAAATTTCTCATAAAAATTGGGGTTTCCTGTTTGCAGTTTTAAAATCTTAAGATCTAGCAATCTAATTGCATGACATTTTCACTGTAGCTGAGTACAGGCCACTATGTTTAGATAAGGTACGAAACTTTCAATATGAAATAGTTCCTACCTAACCCTTCTCACTGATGTGCAGTTATCTAGAGCATGGAGGTATCTGAGTGTTTGACAACCACAAACTAAAAAGTTAATCAGAAATGGGTGGTGAGTTAGGAAAAACGTGCCTCTTTGATTTTCTGGGGCCACTGGATTTTAGACTAAGTAAATAAGACATGTATGCAATACTTTAGAGAGCTTTTGGCTATGCCAGCCAGGAAGATGGATTCCACAGAGACTGCAGAGTGCCACCCTCTCCGCTCCTGTCCCCATCACAAAACACACACACACACACAAACTCGGAAATGACCGTACCACTGTTTCCATATATTAATAAAAGCTAAATATATAATATTTAATATAGTGCTCAGAAACTTTCACAGTTCCCTAAACATCAGTGTAAAATTTCCATTAATCTCTAAATCTGCAAGGCCAAGTACATCCCCGAATGATGGGTCTTGAAAAACAACAACAAGGATTTAAGGGAGGTTCTATAAGTACCCTGTCACTTAATCTAATCTGCCACACACTGGAATCACCTGGAATCTTTCAACACTACTGATACCTGACTCCTACCCCTAGACATTCTGATTTAATTAATATGGGGTGTGATCTGGACAGTGAGAGTTCTAAAAGATCCCCACATGATTCTAATGTATAGCAAGTTTGGAAGCCACTAAATTACTACAAAAAGTATTCTGGTTCTATGATGTATGACACAGACATATAAATTTCTTACTAGAAGAAAGTGCACAGAGTTCTCAAAGCTTATATAGCAAATAATCAAAAGGTGAGAGACAGAAATAAAGATAAATGAGAGCCGGACTCGGTGGCTCAGCCTGTAATCCCGTGCTTTGGGAGGCTGAGGTGAGTGGATTGCCTGAGCCCGCGGGTTCGAGACCTGCCTGGGCAACTTGGCGAGACTTCATCTCTACAATAAATCAAAAATTAGCCGGGTGTGGTAGCGCGCGCCTGTAGTTCCAGCTACTTGGAAGGCTGAGGCGGAAGGATCATCGGAGCCCAGCAGGTCAAGGCTGCAGTGGCCGGCAGCGGCCACTGCACTCCAGTCTGGGCGACAGAGTGAGACTCCAACTCAAAAAAAAAAAAAAAAAGATAAATGAGGTTGTATTATATCTGGTACATAATAAAATAAGCAACATATTTTCAATTTATTTTTATGGCTTGAATAATTATTATACAATGGGGCAATCAAAAATCACCATCAACTGATACTAGAATAAGAGGTTTCAAATTTTACATCAAATTGTTAGAACTTCTAAATTGTACCCTTAATACTAAGAATATTTACTCCAAGCAATATTATATTCTTACAATATTATAAAGTAAATGTCACCATTAGGAAAATTCCTTAATTAAATAAAAATATAATTTCCCAGATAATTATAAATCACTGGACAAATGTGTACTGAGCCTCGAAGTGACAGAGACTCTTTGGGATACCAGGAATATAGAAGTGAACAAATGAAGAAAACACAACAAAAAATCTACACTCTCACAAAGCTTCTATAGACCTAGAATGAGAGAAGATACACAAATAAATAAATAAGTAAACTGAAAAGGAGAGCCAGGAAACAGGGGGAATGAGAGGAAGAGGAAGGAGGTTGCAATTTTAAATAGAGAAGTCTGAAAAGGAAACATGAACAAAGATTTGAAAGTGGCATCAGATGACATATACAACTAATATACATTAAAGGTAATAAAATACATTAATAAAGACATATTTGGCATCAGCGAAACTGATAAAACCAAAGGGCACCATACCTCCATGTGGGATCTTAGGGTTCTCAGGGAGTCTTCCTGGATCAGTAATTGAGGCCCTCACTAAGGCAACCAAACAAAATATGGCAATGCCGTAGAATACTTTAAAATAAATAAAATAAATTAGTCACTTACCCTTCTAAACATTTTATTGACAAGCATATTTAAAGTTTAAAAGGTACATTTTAATTAACACCATTAGGAGAAATAATTTTCAAAATAAGATAAAAAAATTAAATGACTAAATGGTTTCATGCACCAAATAATACTGCCGAGAACTATCGTAAATGTGCTAATTTTAAATGTTATTTTGCATAACAACTGATAGACTTACTATAAATCAGATTATTTATTAATAGTTACTCCCTATCAATAATGGTATAAATGAATAGGTTCTGTTTTAATTACTACATGTAAAATATTTGAAAAGTTCAAACTACCATTTCTAAAAATAATCTATAGTTTTTTCATTAACTGAATGATGTTCAATTATCCCATCTGATGCACCATAAAATATGTAATTTAAGAATAAAGGATTAGAAACCTTTGAATTGCAATATTAATAACCAGCAAAAAATAATAGTAAGGAAAAACAGATTCAGTCACCATAATTCTATATTTTTAAATTAATAAGAAGAGAGACATTATGTTAGAAGAATAAAGAAACTACACACTGCACATGTAAAAGGAAACAGTTTGAGTGCTCAATCCAGGACTGATAGATGGCATTGGTCAGTTTTGTCATTTGTATAACAGAGATTATATTTCCCCAAAGTTCTTGTGAGGTCAAAATGAGGTAATATACATGAAAACTGTAAATGGCATGTACACATAAAAGATATCATTTCAATCTGCTTATTTTAATAATAAGCAAGCCATTGCCAACTGACTATAGCATAAAATAATTATCCAGAAGTTCAGTGTCATCATCAACAATTTTAGTATCATGTTCAAGTTCATAATCAACAATTTTAGTATCAAGTTCATAATCAACAATTTTAGTATCATGAAATTCTCATTTCTCAGTAATGGTACCACCTCCATTCATAAAACTTCCACATTTGCAATCTAGCATAAAACAAAAACATTAAAAATGTATACAGACATACAAGCTATCATTACTGTGACAGTTTTTTTATTAACAAGATGGTCTTTATATATTTTGTGGTTAGATAAATATAAAGATATCACTTTATTTAACTCTGTAAATTTATAAAGGCCATTCTTTTTAAAGTTTTCATAATTGAGGTCATCACTAAATATTAACAGCACTACTAAAATATTAAATATATTAAAAAGGAAGGTTATCTCAGTGGCACTATACTCCAAAAACAATCACAATAAGAAAAATCTTTAATTATACAAGAAATAAATAAAGATATAGGAACTTACTTATTATTAATATGCCTGGAATATGTCCTTCTTCATAGTGAGGAAAGAGGACAATTTTGGGAATTAGAACAATATTGTATAACCAGACAAAGACAATCAAACCCATGCAGCACCAACCATGTGGGTCAGCAACAAAGTGAATCCGGAGACCCATTTTGCAGTTCTGTAACAGCCCACAAGGAAGGAAGACCCTAAGGAGAAGGGACAAAGAGTAAAATTACTTACAAGAAAAATTATTTGACTACAACAAAACTATTTCTGGGAACTGTAACATGACGCATTCAGTTGTCTTTATGTATTTGTTATTTTCCTTATATGTTTGATATATTCATTGATATTTCTTTGGGGTTTTTTTTTAAATAAACACTTTGGAATACAAAGAGAAGCTTCAGGATACTCAAATTTCTTCATAAGCTTCAAATAATTTAATTTCAATTTTTTCATTACAAAAAATTGTATAAGGGGTATAAGATTGGCTTTATCTACTGAAGTTAAAATACAAGTTTGCCCTTAATCCAGCAATGCCATGTGTAAACCCAAGAGAACTGACTATACAAGACCACCAAAAGATATATAAAAACACTTTTAGAAGCTTACCCAGAAGACTAACTGAGGTCACACAGTCAAAATAGTGGTTACCTTGCAGTGGGAAGAGTATGTATTAACTGGAAAGTGACATAAGAGAATTTTTGAGGGGCTAGACATGTTCTATATCTTGACCTTGGTAGCACCTTAGGGATATATACATGTGTAAACATTCACTGAGTCATATACCTAAGATTTGTGCACTTTAATTTTAAACTACCATAAAATATTTTTTAAATCCTTTTGAAAAATTTTAACAGAAAGTGAAAGTAATACAAATTGCTAAAAATATTAAAATTCACACAACAAAGCCCAACTAATATCATTGCTATAAATTCAAGACTCCTGTTTAAATTAGGTTTTTTTTCTGTTGTGTTAGTCTGCCAAAAGATCTCTCAATGAAACATGTAAAGAGTTAAGATATTTCCACATGATACCAAAAAAGTGACAAAATACATCATACTTTAGTACATAGAATGTATAAAGCTTAAATAATAAATTATTCTAAGAGATCTAGGATTATATTTAAATAAAGCATAATGGTATAATAAACTAGGACAATGATTCTCAAACCTGCAAAAATGCCAGAATCACCTGAGGAGCTTTTTAAAAATATATATCCCCAGACCCTATTCCAGATCTACTGATTCGTAATTTTTCATAAAGTTCAAAACCAATAAAATGTTTTTAAAATGCTGAGAGTCTAATACAGCTGACTGGTATCTAGGAACCACCAGCCATGAACTTCACTAAGACTCCAATCTTATAGCAATGAGTTGAATCAACATTCACTGAGCCTCCACTATATACCAGCCACTTGCCAGTCACTGTAGATACAATGAGTAAGACATGGTTTTTGCTTAAAGGTACTATCAGTCTAATAGGAAAAATAAGAAGAAGAAAATGTTTAGTATAAGAGGGTATGTTCCAGATTTGTGGACAAGATGTTAGTAGGGGCCCAGAAGATGGGACTATAACAATCAGGATTCAAGCAAGGCTTCATATAAGAGGCTTAAAAAAAAAAAAAAAAGAGTTCAGTCTTAAAACATGAGTAAAAGTTACCAAATGAGTAAAAGTTATCAAAGCAAAAAAAAGTGACAGCAATACTGCAAACAGCAGGAAGAGCATTAAGTATAAAAGAGAAAAAAATGTGGAAGGTATTACAAATTGCCATCACCAATCATAAAGCTTTCCGTGGAGAGCAAGTGGAGAGAGAGACAAGGCTAGGTCGTGAAGGACAGATACTAAGATGCCATGCTAGAATGCTAAGACTTTGTTCTCAGGCACTGGAAAGCTATTGAAGCTGGGAATTAACATGATGAATTTATATTTTAAATAAATTGCTGACGTCCTGGTCTGGAGGAAAAAATTAAAGACAGAGATCAGTTAGGCTAAGAGAAGACAAAGCCAAACTTAGTTTTGAAAAATGGGCCAACTGAAGAAATAGACTCAAACCAATAAGTCTTTCTGATTGATAGGATATTAGGGATTACAGAGGAGAGAGTCAAGGATGATGCCCAGATTTTCAGTTTATATCCTAGACCCCTTCATTCTAAGAAGAATTCATTATCAGTTGAAGAACATCAGAGCACATCCTCAGAGGCCTTGTCAATGCTCTTCAAAGCTACAAAGTTATCAAAACAAAGAAAAAGAGACCACAGAACACTTGATTTTAAAGGAAAATGCCATTCTCCCATCCCTATATCCTCCACGTATTGGGGCAGCAGAAAAAAGATAAGAATTTAAATGCAATTCCACCCAAGGTTTTAAATGTGGTCCAAATTAGTACTTGTGTATAAATTCTAAACTAGAAACAGTGTCTAGATCTTTAAAAAAGTAATAGTTTTAGCCAGATGTGGTGGTGCATGCCTAGAATTCCAGCTACTTGGAAGGATCGTCTGAGCCCAGCAGGTCGAGACTGTAGTGGCCGGGAGCGTGTCACTACACTCCAGCCTGGGAGAGAATGAGACTCTAACTCAAAAATAAATAAATAAATTTATAAAATTTTTTTAAAACTAAAAGTTAAATTTCATTAACTTTTAATTAGAAAACTAAAAGACTTATCAGTATCAAGAAAGCAAGAAATATCATATAGAGAATAAAGCATGCTATTTAACTTACTCGGTGTCATTATTTTTAAAACTAAAGGAGCCAGGTGCAGTGGCTCAAGTCTTTAATCCCTGTACTTTGGGAGGCCAAGGTGAGGGGATTGCCTGAGCCCACGGGTTCGAGACCAGCCTGGGCAACTTGGTGAGACCTCATCTCTACAATAAATCAAAAAATTAGCTGGGCATGGTAGCGCATGCTGGCTACTTGGAAGGCTGAGGTGGAAGGATCGCCTGAGCCCAGCAGGTCAACGCCACAGTGACAGTGAGCAAACCACTGCACTCCAGTCTGGGCAACGGACTGAGACTCCAATTCAAAAAAGTAAAAATAAAGGAGATAAAACACAAATGGTAAGCTATCTACACAGCTAAAAGAGAAACATTCAAAAGAATGTTAATTTTTTACAGTCCTGCCCATCATCAAGTGCTAAAAAAATGAAAAACGGTTCTGACTCTCAACATGTTCAATATTATTAACTTCATGTACCTTACTTTCTTTTAATGTTTCAGTTTTAGTCAAGACTAAAAAACGGATCTAAATTCCAATAATTATATAGGACAGAGTAATTTCATTACTTATTTCTAAGTTTATTAACACTAGAAACAGAAAAGCACACAATCTAGCAAAACAAGTGGCAAAATTATCAAGTACTTTCATTACTGTATTTTATTCTCCTCTACCAGAGAACAACTTTTTCTTTATCACTAGACAAGATCTCACAACAAAAAGTATTACATTCTGAAAAGTATAGTGTAAAATGTGCCCAATTTCCCAGACATAAACAGATACAGGTGACAAGATCTGAAAGAACAAGCAGCCCCAAGGAAAAGTGAGCACAGACTAGAAAAATAAAGCAATAAACAAATAAGATGGTGAATTTTTTTTAAATACCTAACTCATAAAAATTAGTGCCACATCATCCTTTCCAATGGGTTGCAGAGAAGAAAACAGTGGTCTTCCAAGAGCTCCAGTTCAGACTACAACCTGGACGTGTAACTGGAAGAGTTGCAGGATCACTCCACTCACTTCATATCTACCAGGCGTGGCTTATGGCTGAAGAGAAACTATTACACATCCTGAGCAACAACCACACTGAACACAATGCTGTTACTCTTAAGGACAACATTAGTAAGATACTTTCATCAGCTAGTAATTCCAACATACTAATTTGTATATTAAATGGTGAGCTCATCACTCAAACTTTGAAGTAACTAGTGGATACACTGGTCCATCAGCATTTTTTCAGACTGCTACCTGGTAACTCTACTTCAGTGCAGTGACTAACTTCATAACGATGTAAATTACTACAGCAAAAACTTTTTAAAAAAGAAATTATAATTCAACTCTAATAAACCAGATTGAGTAAATATTTACAGTGTTCAAATTATTCTGACAGAGTCTACCTTTCCTTTTTCACCTTTTCAAGGAATTGTATTTCACTATATATTTTCCTCAAGAATAGTCAAGTCATTATGAAAAGAAAATAACAGAAAACCACTATATGACAGAAAACTTTAACATCAAAATGCAGATTTGGGGGAAAAAAAAATTAGCCAAAATAATTAACAAGAAATCCAGCCAAATGCATATCTCTAAACAGTTTTCTGTTGCTGTTGTTTTTAAGATGTGAGGTACAATTCAGGGCTAAGTATACAAATGTTCATTATGCAGGTATCCTTGTTGATGAGGAATGCTCTCCCAACCCAAGGCAGAATCCCCCCTCAAGGCCACTCCAGCATCAGGTGATCCTTCCACCTCAGCCTTTCAAGTAGCTGGAACTGCACACCTGGCTAACTTTTTTTTTTTTTTTTTTTAATTGTAGAGATGAGGTCTTGTCAAGTTGCCCAGCCTGTTCTCGAACCCATGGGCTCAGGCAATCCCCTCACCTCAGTCTCACAAAGTGTAGGATTACAGGCTTCAGCCACCACACCTGGCCTTTAAACAGTTTTATATGACTCTCCACCTCAGCTAAAATGGTCTCATTACTGTTCCATGAATATAAAAAAAAATTCCATCACTCATTCCTCCTGTCTAAACTATCTCTACCATTCTGCTTACTCTATTTAAATTTAACCCATACTTCAAGGCTAATTTGAATTTTATTTTCCATATGAAAGTTTTCCCAGCACCTCAGTTCACAGTGATTTCTCTTTTTCTTCTAAATTTCATTTTATTAGAAAAAAATAGCAAGTAATTTTATAATCTTGCAACGAGGAAGACCTTCAAAACCAAGAGCCATAAGCCATGTCTGACCACATATTAATAAAAATTAACATTTCTGAAGCCCCAAACACAGCAAAAACAAAGTTAAAAGATAAAATATTCCTGAAAAAAATATTAGAACACATGACTTATAAGAGGCATGCAAAGAGGCAATTCACAGAGAGGAAAGCAATCCAATGCCTAATCATTACTGATTAGGAAAATGTAAAATAACTAGGTATATTTTTCATCTATTGTAATGAAAAACTTTAGAAAGACAGATGGTATCCAATGTTGAGGGCACAGAAAAAAAAGTCACTGTCATACATTATTGGTTTGCATGTAAACTGATACGATCATCTTGGGAGGGCAATTTGGCAATATGTATCAAACGGTAAAACCCTTTTATCCAGCAGATTTACTTTTGGTAATACCTACAAAAGTATTCATGAAACCGTAGAAATATCTAAACATGCAAGAAGTACAAGGATACAGCTCTTTTTATAATCACAAAAAATACGGTACAACCTAAATGTTCATGTAGAGGGAGGGAAATGATCAAACCCATAATGTAGACAATTTCCAAGTCATTGCAATTAAAAAAAAAAAAAAGGAAGAAAAGGAGTCAGGCAGGTCTAGCTCTGCACATGACTACCCACAACACACTATCTTAACTGGTTCTTCAGGAGGGGAGGGGATAGAGATAGACTAGTAAGGGGTATAAGGAAACTTTCTGTGGTGCTAATAAAGATCTGCCTTGATACAGAGCTTGAGCTACACAGGTGCATACATTCATCAAAAAACTTAGCAAATGTACACTTAGTATTGGTACATTTCATGGTATGTAAATTAACCTTTAAAAAAACTGTAAAACAATAAGGAGCTCTAGTTAATGATATGTATACTAAAGTATGTAGGGGGGAAGTGTATTGATGTCTGCAATTTACTTTGAAATGGATCCCAAAAATAACAAAGTGGACTGATGAAAGGACAGAGACATAGATGAGTATGTGATGAAGCTCAGTAAAAGATTCGTTTTAGGACCTAAGTGAAGGGCATTCAGATATAGTTATTTCAAATGTTGGAGAGGAAGCAAGTCGTAGAACAGTATGTATAACATTTTTTGCTAGAAAAAAATACACGTAAAGTAATCTCTGCATATGCATAGAAATAAAGTCTAGAAGAAACACACATCAGCCATTGTTAACAATGGTTATCAATGGGCTGAGGAAAAAGTAGTGAGAAGGAAGGCTCTCACATTTTTATGTGTTACAATTTATCAACAAATGTGCATTTCTAAATTCTTTTCAACCAACTAAAATACAAAGATAGCCTAAGGAACACCAACCTTACAAATAAAATATTTAATTTAAGCCTCTCTTTATCACTATATTGTATCCTTATACTGCATACTTTTAAAATTAGTATTGTTTAAAACGAAGTGCAGAAGGATTGGCTGTAAAGACATATATGATTTACAGTTTAGAAATACGTTTCTGAAATCATATTATTTACAGATGATATTTCTCTATGGAAGAGTCTTCTCTAAGAAAATAGGCTTATTAAAATTTAGTATAAAAACTTTAAAATAAACATAAAGTAATGACATTTGCTAACAAACTAAGTACATCTAAACTTAACAAGACTCCAAGGACACTATGCCACATGATCCAAAAATATATTCTCATGTAAAATCAAATGCAACTTACCACTCGCAAATTCACTGAGATGTGTTGTAATTTTTCTGGTACTTGCATTTAGAGATTTTCTCTTGACTCATTCTTTATTATTATCACATCCCACCAAATGGATCTCTTTTCAGTAACAATTCTCCATGAGAACCTATTAATGGTTTAACAAATAATGATTTCTCACAAAGGCAAAAACTTCAAGCAACTTAATATTCTAACTGTAAAAATGTCAACTACAAAGGTTTTAAGTTTATAAGTAAGAAAAAAATAATTCAACTCCATAAGATTCTGTGCTTTCAAATCCCACCCATCGACCCAGAATTTGCATTTGATTACCATTATACATGAAAGATCTCTTTTTAAACCACCCAATTCCCATAAAATCAAATAAGCATTATGTGTCCAGCATTTGTGCTTCATCAAACTTCCTTGACCACAAATCACAAGATAACAACAGAATCTGCTAGATCTAATCACAACTGATAAAGAACAGAGCTTAAAGTTTTAATTTAAAATGTTTTAAGAAAAGCTATTCTCCTGTAATTAAACTAGTAAGAGTTAAACATAAACATTAGTTACGACAATTAAAGCTTAAAGAAATAACAATCTGCATTATACGTAACATATACTGATTCACTGCTGTAATAATTCAATCAACATTTATTGACTACTGTATATACTGTGCTTTGACACGATATAAATGAAAAAGAGACAGGCTCTATCCTCATGAAACAGACTAATAAACGAATAAGATCAATACTATGTAAGACAAGTTAAAATAGAGGGCAGGAGGGCAAAAATGCATCTCATACAGTAAGGATATTGGTTCATGGGTACACTCCTGGAGAAAGATTTCTGGAGAGAGGGAAGGCTGTGAGTTAACCAGATAAAGAAGGGATGTTCTTTTGACCAACGGAGCAGAATAAGCAAAGGTACAGAAGCAGGAAGAAAAATCTAAGTAAACTGTAACAACCAGAATCACTGCATATAGAAGAAAGGGGTAAGATGTCCAACCTTTTGACCACACCAACTGTAAGAAATACACTGTATAACATTACTAGTACACACAGAAATATATGAATAACTGACCCTTGGGTAGAGCACAATCCTCAGATTGAAAAACACTGTTAAACCACACCAATGAGTTTGGACTTCACCCTGAACCCAGTGGAAAATCACTGAAGGATTTTAGGCAGTAGAATGCCATGATCAAATTCACATCTTGGGAAGAACTCTAAAAGTCTGAAGACTGTATGTGGGTGGATGGATAAAGCACTGAGACTGACCACATACAACAAGGCAGGCTGATGTTACTCAGGCAAGAAATGAATGCACATGGGGTAGGCACCCCAAAAGTAACTTTTAAGGGGAACAGAAAGTGAGAGAGAGAGAGAGAGAGAGAGAGAGAGAGAGAGAGAGAGAGAGAAAGTGACTCTTAAGACAGGAGGCAAGTCCAGGAGAACTTCATGAGTAAAACTGGTAAGACTTAGTGATCAATTGGAAGCAAAAGCAGATTCTAGGATGGCTCCCTCAATTCTGGCTTACGGTCTAGGTGAAGGTACTATTCCCCAAAACAGGAAACAAAGGACAAGTTAAGGAGTTTGTTAAGCACGTTGCTTACCACAGCAAAGGCAAACTATTCATACTGGAGGTGTGAGAAACGCATCAAAATTATCATTACTATATTTTCATTCCTCTTATAAATTTAGAAAAAGAAAAAATAAAAATCTGCATTTTCTCCCAGAGTCAATTTTCCTACGGCCCATGATTGTTAGATTGTCAAGTGTAATTTGTCTCTACTCTAACGTTTTAAGCTATTTTAAAGTGGTCTCCCTAGCTGCATCTTTGCTTCTTAGAGACAAAACATGGAATGACAAAGTTAGAGTTGCTACCCCTCTGCAAATGAACAAATTTTCTTCCATAAAAATTTTCAAGGAGAATTAAATGTGGTACAACAAAATGCTCTGAAACAAGGTCAAAGTCAATCATGCTGCGAAGGTTATGACTCTAGAGTGGCTTCCTAATGTTTCATCAAAGCAGTAGTTTCTGTTAGTAACATTATTAGGTAATAGGACGGGCCAATTATCTGTGAGTCAAATCCCAGTCACCCACTGGCTTAAAATCAAGAAAAATTCTATTTTACATTGCAGACACACCATCTGAAGTAAGATGAACATCTCAGTGCTAGAGCACCACAACCACCACCACTATGAAATCAAATCTTATCTATGTGGTATAAAAGTAACGATAGGCTTAAAAATCCAAAAATTTGGGGAATAACAAAAAACTCCAAAGTTCAGAGTTAAAATGCCATTAAATATTTTTAACATTGCTATGTCTGAAAGAATAGGATCAACAATTTAGTCGGTAAGTTTTCAAACACACCAAAAAAATTTTTTGTCACAATGCCAAGAGAAAACAGCTAATACACTGGATGAATATATGAAATTTAAAATGTATTTATTATAACCAAAAACGAATTAAGAAAATGGTTACAGCTACATACCCTTAAACTATTTATAAAGCCTGTTTGTCATATTTTATTCTACTCAAAAAATTGGTCAAACATAGCAGTTAAATAATTCTACCTAAAATATGAAGCTCTTGCTGCCTCTCTAATAATGAGCCAATGAGGTAATCCAATTTTTAAATGTCATCTAGGTATTCAGTTTATTATCAACAGAGTAGAAAATCAACATTCTATCGATGCGACAATAGAGAGCTATGTTCAAATTATGGCACAACCTCTTATTTGCTTTCCAAGTGTTAATTTCTTTTCAAGCTTTAGTTTGACCATCTGTAAAATGGAGGTTAAGATGTCCACTTAAGCCGGGTTCGGTGGCTCAGCCTGTAATCGCGCATCTTTGGGAGGCTGAGGTGAGTGGATTGCCTGAGCCCGCAGGTTCGAGACCCGCCTGGGCAGACGAGACCTCATTTCTAAAATAAAATAAAAAAATTAGCCGGGCATGGTAGCGCGCGCCTGTAATTCCGGCTACTCGGAAGGCGGAGGTGGAAGGATCACCGGAGCCCAGCGGGTCGAGGCTGCGGTGGCCGGGAGTGGCCACTGCACTCCAGTCTGGGCGACAGAGTGAGACTCCCACTCAAAAAAGAAAATGTCCACTTACAGGGCAGTTATCCCGCTTAAATGAGAAACTACCTGGCAGAGAAGCCAAGTCTCTAAAATGGTTAACTTTACAGGGAATGGAGAAGAGAAGAAGGAAAACATTAAGGTCAGTTTTACTTCCAGTTTTACAAACTCCAGAAGGAAACAATGTTTCTGAGTCCCCATCATAAAAAATAATGATACAATTTAACAGTACCTGAGTTATCCACTTTCTCTAACATCAAAGTCTGTGAACTGCTGCTTGTCAGAGAAAAACCTTAGCTATGACAGTCCTTCAGCTAGTATCCTACCACGATGAGCATGTAGGGAAGCTGCATTTCTACATGTCGGCCTGGGGTCTCCTCAAGTAGAAAAATTTCATCTAAAATAGAATGACTGAAGTCCCTAGACTAAATCTTTTTCAGGTAAGAGCACGACTGGGGAGCTACAGAATAAAGTGTGGAAGAAAATCAGCACTTGATTTCAGAAGCTAATAAAGATGTATAATTAAAGAAGGAAATTCTGACTCAATTGCGAAGTTGTCCAGGAAGACGGTAAAAATGGGGGTGTGGGGCCGCAGGGTGGGCAAAGCATGATGTGCTTGCACCATCAGTGGTTTCAAGAGTCCCCTGCGCAAAACAAGTCCTTAAATAAGTACATTCTGGGCAAAACTGAGCAGAAGCGGTTGCTCTTCACACAAACTTGCTCTTCCTGTGCACCTGCCTCATGAGTGAAAATGAATGCAAACACTTCTATTAACAACACTGTGCTACAATGACATGCTTCATCAGAATCTCCTAACCAGAAGCAGAAATAACTCAGAAGGTATGGGCTGATATAAGTTAAAGGCCGCCAAATAGTGTTTTGGTCATTATTAAATGCTGGCGTGAGGACTTTCATTCAGGAAGGCCGGAGTGCGGCAAAATAGGAGAGGCAAGACTAACCGACGGGTATGAACAGGCAGCAACTGATGACCTTTGCTCCAAAAAACAGCAAGAGGAAAAACCTTCAGACCCAGTCAAGCCGGAAATGAAGAGGCAGGAGCTTTTCCTGGATGTGAACCAAGGATGCGCTCCCAAGAGGGAAGCAAAGCCAGCTACTCACCTTCTAGTACCCACTGCATGAAGACTAAATTAGACTTCCTTCACACCAGGCTTTACCAAAGTGAGCATGATTTCAGAACACTCACACCACGAGAAAAACCTCTCCTTGCCTGCTCGCTAGAGACAAAAATCCTGCCGCAGGTGAACAAGTTCTTCGTTCCATAGTTACAGATGAGAAGCTTAAAATCAGAAACCTCGCCGAGCTCACACTCAAGCATTTTAACTCAGAATTAGAATAAAATTAATCGGTGAATGGCAAAATACTAATTTTTACCTCGCCTGCCCTTTTGCGGAAGGAGCAACAGACGGGTGCAGAGAGCAGATGCCTACTCAGTTTCTGGAAAAGGGAAGGCTGATCTACCCTGAGAGAAACAGCACAGGGAGAAGGAGGTCTGGAGGGCAGGAGACAAACTTTGAAAACGCCACACCTTTGCCCAGGGAAGAGCCAGAAAGGGAAACAAGTAAATACGCACAGCCACCACACTGAGTATCTTCCGTCAGGCAGTGAAGAACCAGCACGGGGCTGCTTCACGTGTCTACACAGATGCGCTTCTTGAACTACGCTGGTTGCCACTACTTATCAGCAATTCCTAACCAACAAATCTCCATCTTAACAATAAAAAGATTGTTTCTTGATTATTCTTGCCTTTCACTTATATTTCATGCAGCCGGCCATAATAAGAGGTATTTATGCACTGATTATTTTACTAGATGCTCAGGTGCCTTTAATACCTAGCACAGATGAAAAGGAGAGTCTGAGCCCAAATGTGTTACTAAAACAAAATACAATGTGTATATTCCTTCACATAAAAGCAAAAAATGAATTCAGGGAATGACCTCTTGGCACTAAAAGTAGCTTTTCCTTTGCTTTCCCTGTTACGCCTGACACTGTGTAACCTCCTACATTGGAAAAGTTTTCATTGACTCACACTCAGTTACAATTCCAGAACAAAGTTCCATGGAGACATTACTAGACGTCTCAATCAGTTTCTTCGCTCCGCGGTGGCTTTATTCATGCACTTTTCCACAGGTTATGAAACAGTCACTATGAATTAAAGAAATGAGACCGCAGGCAAATAAGAAACAAAAATCTTATGATTCACTGATTACTACTTCTAGTCTTAGAACCAACTGTTAAGCTGAAGATTCTACATATGCTTCTGTAAATGCTCAACTTTCTTTCATTAAGCAAAGCAACCCAGAGATAGACAAAGTGACACAGTTCTCACCGCCCTCTTTAAATGATGCTCAAGCCAGGCTCGGTGGCTCAGCCTGTCATCCCGCGCCTTTGGGAGGCTGAGGTGAGTGGATGGCCTGAGCCCGCGGGTTCAAGATCCACCTGGGCAACTTGGCGAGACCTCATCTCTACAATCAATCAAAAATCAGCCGGGCATGGTAGCGCGCGCCCGTAGTTCCGGCTACTCGGAAGGCGGAGGCGGAAGGATCGCCGGAGCCCAGCGGGTCGAGGCTGCGGGGGCCGGGAGCGGCCACTGCCCTCCAGTCTGGGCGATAGAGGGAGACTCCGACTCAAAAAAAAAAAAAAAATGATGCTCAATTTCATTTACTCCCAACAACAGCTTCTCAAGTATGTTAGGTTTAAAAGAAAGCTCAAGTTTGAAAAGAACCAATATAATTGTCTGCATCAAAAATGATGCATTCTGGAATAGCGCCATACCAAAACAGTTATGGAACTGTACACTTTTAACTTCTACCTCGAGCTAATTTTACTAATCCTTTGTAAGGCAAACGTCTTCAATGCACCTTCCACACACGTCAGAGCCCTACATTATTTACAAACGTGGGGCATCTGCTAAGTCGGCATGGGAAACGCGAAAACAGGCCTCAGGGAATTCGGTCTGACGCCCTAGCCGCACAGACAACCCCCCGGGTCACTGACCCCCGCCCCCCGCCCCCACAGCCGGACAGTGACGGAAAAGGGACTGGAACCCGGCTCTTCTTCCCACCGCACAAACTCTCGTGGGGCTCGCTTCAACCCTTCTTCCAAAACCTTCTGCTTCCAAAAGAGAGCACCACTGCCGAAAGACAGAGCGCCTCCGAACTGCCCCTTCCAAATAAAACAGCCTCCCGAGACCCGGAGAGTTTCACGAGCCATCGCCCCCAAAGCCTTTTCATGCAGGAGCGCCGCACGCACACGCGACACAGTCATCACGTGCTCGCGACGCGCCCTCACAAGATTCTCGGCGCCGGGAGAGCAGCGAACTTTTCCCAGCGCACAGCAGGCCTGGGACCCACGGACACGCCTCTCGAGCTCGCGCTTCGTCCTCCTCAGCCGCCTCGGCCTGGCTGCCACTCTGCACTCC